GACAAAGAACACGAATTTGACGTAAAGGTGTCCTACGATCACATCAATACAGGCTTTGGTGTCAGCATCAACAGAGGACAAATAAAACAATTTTAGTTTCACAAGGGGTGAAATTGGCTGTTAATCAACAAATCAACTAACTGGATAATGGGTTTCAGTTCGCTAGTGGATCGCCAAAAGGCATTAGGCGACAAAATCAAACAATTTATTGGTAATTGCAAAAAGGCTGGAAAACCTCGCAGAACTTCTCAATTCTATACAGACAAGATACAAGAATTGCAAAGGTTGGGTGACGAATATCATGAAAATCATCAGGAAATCATGGCTTCAGTGGACAAGGTTGACGACCATGAATACTTGGTGAACAAAGAGTATCAGAGTATTCTTAAAAGGATTGTCGATTACAACAAGGTTCTAGAAATTGAAGCAATAGAGCTAGAAAAATCATCTTCAGCAAGCAATGGCACAACAATTGAGCAAAACAAACAGATAAATGATTCAAACATTCGAAAACTACTCCGAAATCAGAAGGCACTCATACGTGTAATTGAAAGAACAATAGAAGGAATCATGGTCAACAGGCAAGTTGAACAACCATCTACATACTATTCTATAAAGGCAGCCAGTCTTGAAGGATATATGGTCGATTTAACGGCAAATAACACAACGTTATGGGAAGCTACCGACGAAAGCATCATTGAGGACTACACACTGGAAATGTTTTATGAACTCGAGGAAAAGGCAGGAGCTGCCATGATCGAACTACAGCAACATTTGCATAATAATCAGACAATTCGCAACTCAAGACAGACAGATTGCGAATTGCCTCTACCAAGAATATCACTACCAAAATTTGATGGAAATTATATGCGGTGGGTGGAATTCAAGGACTTGTATATGGAATTGGTCCACAACACGGACATCAGTGACAGTAAAAAAATGCATTATCTGACTACATCATTGGATAACGAGCCAAAGGGGCTAATTAGACATCTTCCAGTAGTAGGAGAAAATTACAATATAGCCTGGACTTTACTTACAAGTCGTTATGAAAATAAGCGACTTCTGGTTACAACACTCCTAAATAAATTAATGGGACAATCCTCCATTAAAAGGGAGTCGGCTCCAGCATTAAAATCTCTACACGATGTAAGCAAGGAATGCATACATGGTCTCAAGGCTCAAGGAGTTCCAGTTGAACATTGGGATATTATCCTGGTACATCTATTGCTGCGCAAGCTGGATGCAGAAACTCTAACAGCTTTCGAACAAGGGCTATCAGACAACAAACGTTTAATAACCATTGATGAATTGCTAAAATTTTTGGAACATAGATTTCAATCACTTGAGGCTAGGGGAAAAGGAGATTCATCATTCACTCGAACATGTGCTTCAGCTACAAAATTTGGTTTAAGTAAAACCTGTCCAATTTGCAATAAAGACGGTCACATGGTCTATGCTTGCAAAAAATTCGAGACGGCTAATCTATCACAACGTTGGAATTGGGTTAAAGAGTTCAATTTGTGTGTGAACTGCCTCAGGATTGGACATCGAGCTGATGAGTGTAATTCAAGGCACTGCACTAAGTGTTCTAAAAAACATAACACTTTGATGCATAATCCAAAGGGGAATCAATACACAAAAGGTACTGTTCTTCAAGGAAATAACTCGACGCCTCAACAAACAGGTCAAGCTTCAGTTTCAAACCAATCATCAAATAAAATAACTCTTTTAACAAACAATACCAGACAGGAATCTAATTATGTCTTATTAGGGACGGCCAGAATAAGATTGCTGGCATCAAATGGAAGACAAATTGAATGCAGAGCAGTATTGGACTCTGGCTCTCAAATCAATCTCATAACAAACCGCCTGTCACAAAAATTGGGCTGCAAGCCTAGGCCAACGCTTATGAGTATGGAAGGCGTAGGAGCAAATGAATCAAAAATACGTCATCAAACAATAATTCGAGTACAATCAACGTTGAACGAATTTGTAGCAGAGATGGATGCACATATCATACCAAAAATCGTTTCAGATCAGCCAATGCAGTATTTGAATATCGAATCCTGGGATATTCCAAAGGAATTAACTCTCGCTGATCCAGATTTTAACAAACCTGGCCGAATAGATTGCCTGTTAGGAGCAGAGATTTTTTTCAAGTTACTTATTGAAGGTCAAATAAAACTAGCAGTTAGTCTTCCAACACTTCAGAATTCTATTTTTGGATGGGTTGTAGCTGGCAATGTTGAAACTTTAAATTCAAGCACGGCAACTTGTGGCATATGCACTACTAAGGAACTAGAAGAATCTATATTGAAATTCTGGGAATCAGAAGAAATTCCAGATTCAACTTCGGAACTCACAGAAGACGAATTGCGTTGTGAGTCACAAATTTTTTGCAACACACTTTTCGAGGAAGTGATAGCAGATTTGTTGTAAAACTCCCACTAAAGAATCATCCATCAGTGTTACCAGATACAAAAGGAATCGCTTACGAGAGGTTCAAGACAATCGAGCGCCGTTTCATTCAAAATCCTGATCTAAAGAATCAATATGTTTCATTTATGAGGGAATATGAAGCATTGGGACACATGACAAAATTCAGCGGTAGCGAAATAATATCTCCCCAATATTTCATCCCTCACCACTGTGTGCTACGTCCAGACAGCTCAACATCAAAACTGCGAGTTGTATTTGACGCATCAGTACACAAATTATCAGAGCCATCACTAAATGACATAATGTTTAATGGTCCAAAAGTTCAAGACGAACTGTTTTCGATTTTGCTCAGATTTAGAATGCACAAATATGTTTTAAAAACTGATGTGGAAAAAATGTACCGTCAAATATGGGTTAACAAAGATGATCGAAATCTGCAACTCATAATGTGGCGAGAAAATCCCACAGAACCACTTAATTATTATCAGTTGAACACAGTTACTTATGGCACAAGAGCAGCACCATATTTAGCAACACGCTGTCTAACAAAATTGGCGGATGAATATCAAGGAAATTATTTATATGGCGCCACATCTTTAAAAAAGGATTTTTATGTTGACGACGGTCTAATAGGAGCTGATACCATCAACGAAGCGTTACTAATTCAACAACAATTAATAACAATTCTAGACAAGGCTGGAATGAAACTAAAAAAATGGTGTGCAAACAACCCAAAACTTTTACATGGAATCGCTACAGAAGATCAAGAAGTAAATCTCAATTTTGATTCCAAGGAAACCCAATTCACAAAGACGCTGGGTCTTTTATGGTTACCAAAGTCAGATTCATTTCGTATCAAGGTTAACATTCGAGACCATAGTCACACAACAAAACGATCTATGAGCTCCGATTTGGCACACATATATGACCCTTTGGGTCTTATTGGTCCAATCTTGGTCACCGGTAAAATCTTGTTGCAAGGAGCATGGCAGCTAAAACTCGATTGGGATGATGATCTTCCGTCAGAAATACGTAAACAATGGACATCGTATAGAGAAGATCTGGCCTTGTTGGACAATGCAACAGTTGTGAGGCACGTATTCAGCAGTCAAGGCTACAGCCATGTTGAGCTGCACGCTTTTTGTGACGCCTCAGAAAAGGCTTATGGTGCAGCAGTATACATTAGAACAGTACAAAAGGATAAAACGATAAAACTTAATCTACTATGCTCCAGATCTCGTGTAGCACCCATAAAATCTCAAACAATTCCACGACTAGAATTGTGTGCAGCGTTGCTAGCAGCAGAACTCATGGCAAGAGTTAAACTTGATTTAGGCTATCAAGACAAAGCAACTTACTTTTGGACAGATTCACAAATTGTGCTTTCCTGGATAAACAATCATCCAGGCAAATTACCCGTTTACGTCGCCCACCGAATTGTAAAAATCCTTCGGTTAACAATTCCAGAACAATGGCGTCACGTCCCGTCAAAACAAAATCCGGCAGATATTCTGTCAAGAGGGCTTAAACCGCGGGAATTTTCATCTTGCTACATGTGGTTATATGGTCCACTATTTTTATATCAGCCAAAGCCGCTGTGGCCAGCTCCCTTCAAAAGGGAATTAATTGTTGAAGATAACACGGTGGTGCTTGCTTTATCAACACAACAACCTACTAATGAGCATGCATGGGTCTACTCGATTCATTCAAGAAATTTATTTACACATGTCCAAAAGGTTGTTGGATATGTACTTCGTTTCACAAAAAACGCACGGAAACCAAAAGAATCAAGACCAGAGACCATGCAGCTTTCACCGATGGAGCTCGACGTAGCACTTAAGATAATAATACGTCAAATCCAGGCCTCCGATTTTTCTGATCTAAGGAAAATGCTAGTTAAGGACGAATTTGTGCCAAAAACTCATAACCTCAGTTCACTAACTCCGTTCGTAGATGAAGAAGGGGTAATACGTGTTGGCGGACGGCTAAGCTCTTCAAAACTACAATTTGATGCCATTCATCAAATGATTTTACCCAGCAACGATCCACTAGTAAAGTTGCTGGTAGAAAAAATACATAAGGACAATTATCATTGTGGCGCCCAAGCATTGCTGGCACAAGTGAGGCAGCGTTTTTGGCCCCTCAAAGGAAAAAGCTTGATGAGAGCTGTAATACAACAATGCTTAAGATGCAGAAGAGCAAGGCCAATTGTGTACAATCAAATCATGGGAAATTTGCCTGGTCACCGTGTGCAACCAGCTCGACCATTTCTCAGCACTGGAGTTGATTATTGTGGCCCAATATGGGTTCATTACAAAACAAGAGGCAAGCGTCCACAAAAGGCGTATATCGCTGTCTTTTGCTGTTTTGCAACCAAGGCCGTACACTTAGAACTTGTGACTGATCTGACCACAGATGCATTCATTGGAGCATTAAAACGCTTCATAGCACGACGAGGACGCTGTAAAACGTTATACTGCGACAATGCGACCAATTTCGTTGGAGCGAAAAACAAGTTGCAGGAACTTACTGACGTCATCTACGCTGATCGAGCGAAGGAATCAATTGCAGGAATGTGCAGTACGAAAGGCATAGAATTTCACTTCATTCCACCAAGGTCACCACACTTCGGCGGGCTATGGGAGGCAGCAGTAAAATCTGCCAAATATTTGCTGGTAAAAAATGTTTCAACAGCATCACTTACATATGAAGAGCTTGAAACTGTCGTTATTGAAGTTGAAGCAGTGTTGAACTCGCGACCCCTTATTCCTAGCTCATCAGATGCTCATCAGATTTGCCTGGACACCGTGTGCAACCAGCTCGACCATTTCTCAGCACTGGAGTTGATTATTGTGGCCCAATATGGGTTCATTACAAAACAAGAGGCAAGCGTCCACAAAAGGCGTATATCGCTGTCTTTTGCTGTTTTGCAACCAAGGCCGTACACTTAGAACTTGTGACTGATCTGACCACAGATGCATTCATTGGAGCATTAAAACGCTTCATAGCAAGACGAGGACGCTGTAAAACGTTATAATGCGACAATGCGACCAATTTCGTTGGAGCGAAAAACAAGTTGCAGGAACTTACTGACGTCATCTACGCTGATCGAGCGAAGGAATCAATTGCAGGAATGTGCAGTACGAAAGGCATAGAATTTCACTTCATTCCACCAAGGTCACCACACTTCGGCGGGTTATGGGAGGCAGCAGTAAAATCTGCCAAATATTTGCTGGTCAAAAATGTTTCAACAGCATCACTTACATATGAAGAGCTTGAAACTGTCGTTATTGAAGTTGAAGCAGTGTTGAACTCGCGACCCCTTATTCCTAGCTCATCAGATGCAAACGATTTGAACGCAATAACTCCAGGTCATTTTTTAATAGGTGAAGAAATCACTTCAAGCGTTGATGTGCATGCACGTGACTCTAAAGAAAAATTACTTAAACGCTGGCAACTGGTATCAGAGCTAAAACACAGTTTTTGGCAGCGCTGGACTAAGGAGTATCTAAGCGAATTGCAACAGCGCCACAAGTGGAAGGGTCCCATCACCAACATACAGACCAATACGATGGTAATCCTTAAAGAAGACAATGTCCCAGTTCTGCAATGGCCTTTAGGACGCATCATCAAAGTTTACAAAGGCGAAGATGGTTTAGTGAGAGTTTGTGACATTCAAACAAAAAAGGGGGTATTTAAAAGACCGGTGCATAGATTAGCTCCATTATTTCCTGAAGACGATAAATTAGAAGATCCAACCTTTGGAAAAATGACTGAAAGAAAAATCGAATCAGAACAGACTCAAGAAACTCCAACGTCACCTCCCGTGTCGCTTATCGTAAAAATTCCATTAAATCGCATCAGAAAGCCTGAATCATTAGTCAATGGGTTAACTCCGACAAAACGATCATGTCTGAATTCCGGGTTGCTGCTCACCATTATTACTTTACTCATTTTGCCACTTGCACTATGTAGTCCCGTCAATATAACAACCTTCAACAACAAACCTGGCATTTATTTTGAGCAGCTTAAACCAGTCAAAATCATGTCTGCTGATTGGAAAATGATTGTATATTTTGACCTTTCCCCATACCAACACCAAATGAGCATTTTAGCTGATGGAACAAAAGGGTTGAACAATTTATGCGACAAGGCATTGGATAACACTGCTTGCAAGGTATTACTCAACTATTTTGACCGTATAACGGAGGAACTGCAAATGGAACTTAATCTTCTTTCTGTTAGAAAAAGAATAACAAGAGGAGCTATAGACATTGTCGGAAATTTTGCAAATTCATTGTTTGGTGTCCTCGACTCAAACTACGCGGCACAAATGTCAAGCACAATAAATGGTCTTAAAAGGAACGACAATCACCTGGAACAACTCGTTAAAAACCAAACGTCACTTGTTGATTCAACTATCAATATCTTTAAGAAGAACCAATTAAACATGCATGACAAATTTGAAGAAATTGAAAAGCGCATCAATAACTTGTTGTATACAGATGAGTCAATAAACGACATACACGTAACACAAAACATGCTTATGTTGTCAATGCAAATGCTCATGATGGTATCCAACCTGCAAAGAGTTCACTCATCAATTATGGACGTACTAATCGACAGTCATCACGATAAAATAAATTCTCTTCTGCTGACTCCACAACAGCTTAGTGAGCAAATAATGATGATTAGGGCACATCTTCCATCACACCTACAGTTACCTATCCACCACAATAACTTACTCGAAGTATATAGGCTCATGAAGATCAACGGAATCCTGGCAAAGGGCCATGTCATTTTTTGCATCGACTTACCTCTCACGGATCCAAGAGAATTTCAACTGTTATATCTTGTTCCAATTGTGGCAGCTATAAATAACACACTTTTATCAGTGAAACTTTCAACAGAATTTCTAGCCATCAGTCCGCATCATGATGAATTTCGACCAATGACACAGCATCAAGTGGACGCATGCATATCGATAAGTGACGAAGAGTTATTATGTCCAAACATACAAGCAACATTTCATGAATCGTCAAACGTCAATAATTGTGAAATTGACTTATTTAACAATCAAGCTAAACCAAGATGCGATATGTATCAGCTCAAGGACACAACTGTATGGCATCAACTAAATCATCCGAATCAATGGATTTACGCAACCATAAATAACATCAAAATGAATGCAGTATGCAACAAGAAAGCATTTCAATTAACTTTAGTGGGCAGTGGTTTGATTAAATTAGAACCTGAATGCATCATCAAAAATGAACACATTACGATTCAAGGTCATCAAAAAATGGTTACTTCAATGCAGGCATCGATCACCAGATTGAACCTATCTGTAGGATGGACAAAACAATATGCGAGCAATAACATCAGCGTCAAACCATTGTCACCCACAATCCATGAGCTTGAACTTATTCAACGAAAATTAGGCCACATCCAGAGTTCCAGTTTTCCAACTGATGCTATTAGTCCAGGGACACATAGTCTAATAACCAGCTACGTTGCATTAGCAATGTTTCTATGTGTCGCTAGTGCACTATTATATATATGGCGAAGGCAAAAAATCACCTATCAAACACCTCCAATACCGATGCCACGACATCAGCAGATGACCGAGGATACAGCATGTTGACTTGCAGCTTCCAATAATTAGAATTGATGTTGTCAATTCAAGGCGGGCAGCATGTTCACACATTATTATTATTGTAAAATATTATTATTATTACTATTGTTATTATTGTACAATATTTGTAAAATTTGAACATATATGCTGATGTTAGCAATATCCAAATTTTGACTTTCCTTTGCATTATTTAATTTGGTAAAATGCAGTGGCACTGAACTTGAATATTTGCATTACATTTTTTGTTAAGTGCAGTGGCACTGAACTTTGAATATGTAACATATATCAAGGCCAGTGCATTGGCATTAATTCTTGGTTGCTAGACAGAACAAAGAATTTGGTTGCATAATATATGCTGAGCTTGCACTTTAGGCAAGAAGACGGTAAAGGAAAAGAATAAAAATTAGATATTGTTATTGTAATAATTTGTAATAATTTAGTATTTAAGGAAAAATTTAATTTAATAAAATTCAGATTGAAACCAATATTCGATCTCTCATTTTCATTTCCAGAGTTTCAGTTCATGTGCTGAAAACTCAACTTTCAATTAAAGAGTTACAGTTTAAGTGCTGTCAATTCATTTCCTTAGGTGTTAATTCATTAACAGTCACTATAACACTGTGACTTCTGTCCAGCCATGAGTCGACATCGCACGTTAACAACAAATCCATGGCGGGCAGACGGAACCGTACATCCGTATGTATCGTATGTCTCCGGCGCTTTCCAACTGATAACGTTATTTATGCGACAAATGACATTTCGCCACTTTATCTCCAGCACCAATGTAATTTATTTGTGATTTGTCACCAAATCTGTAATATTTATGGCCTTTTTTTATTTTAACGTCAAATCAATTAAGAAGATTGTAAATAAAAATTTGTTGCTCTTAAGAAGCAACGTTTATTTTCATTTTATCCGATCCGTCTTTCATCTGCACTCACTCTACATTGAGTATCTATACAAGGCACACATGTAGTGATTTATGGTCAGCAGTTAACATTAGTAGTAAATCTGTCGGTAGCTATTAAGCAAATGCGGTTTGAATTAATTTATAGGATTTACCTCTGCCTGATGTTCTTTTAAATATTTCGATTTTTGTTTCTTTTTTCAACTAATCTTTTTGGTGTCCCTCTCCTCCTAAATTTCATCTTGAAACCATGTATCCGATGTCAAATGTGCATAATATCGTATATCACATATTGTGGTACAACCTTTTCATGTTCTACATATGGAGGAAATAATTTATTGCGGTTAATGTGAGTTCTTTTTATAATTTTATCTACTACTGTTACTAAGACAATACTAAATTCTAATGCATGTACATATATTTTTGAGATAAATGTATGTATATATTATGACACCAAGTTTGTATTATAATTATGTAAATAAATAAGATTTAAAGAATATTTCTTACTATCCTTATTGAATAGATTCTACAAAACAATATATCGGATGAATTATATTTATCTTTATTGAAAGACGATGTCATAAGATGAAAATTCTACAAAAATCAATAATACTGCCTTTATAATACAATAATAATTTGCATACATAATATTCCATATATTTCTATATATGTGAGAAAAACTGCTTCCATTTTTCAGGCAGAGGTCCATGCCTTAGAGCTATGTGCAAGAGAATGCATACAAAGGGGCACCTGAGGTACCAAAATATGCACCCTATCAGACAGCCATGCAGCTCTAAAATCTTTAGCAAAATCTTTATTCCAATTAAAGTTGGTCTGGGTATGCTTTCAACTTCTCAACACTCTAGCATCGAGGAGCTATGTTACTCTTATGTGGGTACCGGGACACGAAGGGCATGATGCCCAAACAGGCATCCGACAGTCAAAAAGATCCATTGATCCTGATCACATCAAAGTTGATGCTATCCTTGACCTTAGCAGAAACGATATTAAAATCTATACTGAACTTCTTACAGACACTGTAGACTTAATCACCACATGGAGGTTATAGGTGTGGTAGAAAGTGACTCCTGTCGACTTTGTCATGAGGAGAAGGAAACATCAGAACATGTTCTATGCAACTGACCAGCGGTGGCAAGATGTAGACTCGATTACCTTGAAAGCGGGATCTTAGTCCCAAATCAAATAGGTAAAATTAAGCTCACAGCAATTACAAGATTTACAAATAGTCTAAAATTGTTCTAGTTGGGCCTTTATGCGCACAATAGATCTTTTAGGTCGGGGTGATGTAATAGCCTATTACTTAAATAATAATAAATTATATTTCCTTATATTCTATATTTCCATATATTCCGCATTTCTCGTCTTCTATCATTACTGATATGAAATTT